CCCCCCCCCCCCCCCCCCCCTTAGGGCTTCTTGCGAGCTGCACTTTATCACCCGGGATACATAAGATACCACACCCCCCACAGGATACCACACCGGTGATAAATATTTGAAAACTCAGAAATGTTATCACCGGGGTGTGTTATCTTGTGTCACTTACGGTAGGCAGGTACCTCGTCAGTGCTTGATCAGTGCGTAGTGCATACGGATTTGTTGTCCTCTGTTCAATCGTGGTGTGGTTGGGTTAGCAAAGGAGGCTCACGAAACGCAGGGCTTGATGCACTACCCAAAACTGGATTTAGGACCAAATGGAGGGAAAGTGGGGAGTGAGGTCTGTAATATACCGCATATGGTACTTCCGGTATAGCTTTTAGTGTGATCTAGTATAACCTATTTATTGTTTTTTGTATACTCTAGGATTAAGTATGGTTATACTTAAACTTGTACACCTCCTACGTATGGGTTTTAGAATGTGGTATTTAATACTGTCACACAGTCCTGCGCACCTCTGATCGTATGGTTTTTGTAGTGATACTTTGTAATCGTATATATAGACTTTAATATACCCATACCATATCCTATACAATTAACGCCGTGACCAAACTGGATTAAGCGTCCGAAGAAATAGGGGTAGGGGGGGGCGGAGGGGGGTTAGCAATGCATCAGCTCCTGCGTTTCGTGAGCCCCCTTAAATATGCGCGAAAAGTTTTCCCAACCACTAAAAGGTCAAGATACAGTTTTAGGGCGGCATCGACTACCACTATGCCTACGATTGCGCATGCATATCATATGCATATGCATAGGTGTGGATCATAAGGTACTGCTGCATATTGGTTTATGCACTCATTGAATGTATAGAAGCCTATGTAGTCAGCGCTGACTACTGTAGTCTACTGGTTTGATTGCGGCTTATATAATTGTGGGGATCCCTTTTCGTTGGCATATACATACTGCCGTACATACATGTATGCACATTGATTAGATCCAAAGCACTTCATTCAGTTGTGAATATCTCACCATTGAGTGAGTGTTTCTTGTCTGGCTCCCATCCACACGTACCTCTCTCTGGGTATGTTTGTTTTTGGACGCACCAGCAGGGAGGGGTCAAACAGGAGGATACAGACAGGAGTTGTGTTGTTGTTATTTTTTGTCTCCACCGTCCTTCGTTCCTTCTGCGGTGCTTCTTACTTTTGTTCCCACCTTTGAGCGCAACTACAAAGCAAAAGGAAGGTTAATCTGTCGGTTGCTTTCCCTCGTGCGGACCTTGCGGGAGAAATTGGTGTACATCTAATTAGTAGCCGTTGTCCAGATTTGTGTGAGCGCACAATGTGAGAGCACGTATTAGGCCGTGTGTGCGATGACGAGATTCGAACTCACTTCAAACTCTAGAACGTTGCGACCAATTGAGACAGAATGGGGCGACCAGGTAGTATGACCAGGGGGGGGTACAAGGCCCTGAGAAGGGCACACGTCGGTTCGAGCTAGATATTTTGCAACACATGGACTGTGCGGTCGGTAGCTTTAGGATGCGATGGCTTCGTTCATCTGACTGCGTCCGTAGTCTCGACGGCGACTCTGCGTGCTCCTCGCGCTTCTGTTGTTTGTCCGTCTCCTCGCATTGAGTTAGGCATCACAAGCAGATCCTTCCACGATGCCTGCCATGGTAGAGGCGGGAGCGATTTCCGGGCTGTTGATGCACCTGGCAACCGCGGCCGACTGCACCTCTTCTTCGCAACAGCAGCAGCAGCAGCAGCAGCAGCAGCAACAACAACAACACCAACGTACTCCGAAGAAGCAAGAGGCTGATAGCGCAAGAGCAGGTGGAGTATTCGGGCAACGCCATCATGGAACCGATGGAAACGCAGCCAACGGAGGTGGGGACCAGACTCCTCCTTCCCTCTTGCTGGCGGCGCGGCTCCTATACGCCATTTCTTTGGACCCTGGCGGAAGGTGCGCGTCGAATTTTTGAGAACTGTTTTTACCGGGGAACATCAGTTGCTTGCTTGTGAGCTCAACCTGCTGTAGTGCCTATCTGTCTTTGCCTCTAACAATGGCTGCGTTCGAGAAAAATACGAACTATTGGCACACGCATTGCAAGGGCAATGATTTAAAAAGGGATATGCGTGTTTTTTTCATAAATATTTATTATTTTTTGGGTTTTTGGAGGACAAGTCGTTATTAGAGCATTCAAATCTGGATAATACGCTGACTCGAAATCCTCAAGGATTGATGGAGAAGCTTGTGTGCAGTTTTCATTTACCGGCCACCGTGTGTCACTCAGCAGGTCGTCTCTTCTGGGGGCCAAGTGTCTCCCGCCGCTCATCCGCCTCCGGCGGCAACTGCACGCGGAAGCAGCAGCGGAAGCGATAGCGACTGCAGAAGCTAGCACCACTACCGCTGTCGTTCAGCCTGCGTTGGAATGCACGAAAAGACCAGCTGGTCCAAACAGCGGTCCGGCAGCGTTTGCGCGAAAGGGAGGCACGAAAGAGGCAGAGCAAGAGGCATTTGTGGGAAAACAACAGGCGCAGCAGAGTGGCGGAGACGTCGCCACCGGTGATAGCAGTAGTGAGCGTGATTTGGAGGGCTTAGAAGTGATCGTCAGCTTGATTGTCGATCACCTTGTGGGTAGGTCGAACGGCAGATGAAAGAACCGGGTGTTGGAACGCGTATGTAGATACTTGAGGTTGCCAGCGTGTACTGCACGTAGTACAGCGGTGTGAGTGATGGAACCTCTGCTAGAACGAATCTATGCCTCGATTGATTGCTCTACAATCAAAAGAGGGTATGAATGCTGACCGTCGAGGAAGTCCTTCCAAAAGCACCCGCCTGTTCCGCAGTAGCGCTCTCCTGGCTGTCGAACAAAATGGAGCGTTGAAAGTCGAATTGCTGTAGGGGGGTGCGATCACCCGCAATCGGGAAGAGCCTCCGATCGTTTCAAGGGGGAAAGGCCTGAGAGTGAACCTATTGGCACATTATTTACGAGTTATGAGGACACTCCCAGAGTCGACACTCACGAAACTCGCATCACGAGCAAAGGCGCACACCCCAGCACTAGATTCGAGTTGTGCTATCTCGATACATTAGTCGGAGAGCGGTCGGAGGTTGAAATGGTGTTTCCGCGATGCAGTCATTTCCTGCGCCATTGTTCTCCGAGTGGGACGCGTGTGTGTACGGTTGGTTGCAGTTAGCCCTGCCCCCAGAGAAATTGGTGGCGACGGGGGAAAATTCCTTCTTTTCATTCGTTGCTGTTGCCACGGTCAATTTGACGACGCCAATGACACGCACCAGCGGTAAGAACACTGTCTGCTGTCCAATGCTCGTGAACAAAAGCCACCGAAACACCAGGGACAGATAGTAGGGGAGGTCGAAAGTGGAAACCGAGGTCGAAAGTGGAAACCTTGCGGCACACACAGTAAGTGGGCGACGCTTGTTGTATCATGCATAGCAGCAACAACAACAAAAACAAACGTCCTGCTTTGTAACGAAGCGCCAGAGAGAGCCGGTCGCAGCAACATGAAAAAGACCCCCGACAGACGACACTTTTTTTAGGGACACGCCACACCACCCAAGCAAGATAATAATTTTCTTTGTGTATTTTTTTTCAAGAGGAACACCACCACCACCACCATCATCATCATCACTACTACTCACTACTGATGTTCTTGTTATCCGTATCAACCAGGCAAACAAATATTCTATGGCAAATCAACCCTGCCTACCGAGCGAGCGAGGGTGGTTGTTGAATGAATGATGAATGTAGGCAGGGTTCGTCGGCCTACCTTAACTTCCTCTGAGGTGCATATTTATCTATTGGGACAGCTGGCGCACATTGCCGTTGTTATTTACGGACAGACAGGTTGTTGTCGTTGTCGTTGTTGGTGGTGGTGCTGTTGGTGCTGTT